AGCTCATACATGCAATAAAGCACATGAACACTAAAAACACACTAAATGAAAGAAGCCAGATACAAAAGGCCACATGTTGTGTGAGTCCATTTATATGAAATGTCCAAAACAGGCAAATTCAGAGAGAGAGTAATCAGATTAGTGGTTGCCAGGAGCTGAGGGGAGAGGAAAATGGATAGCAGGTAGAGGGGTTTTGGCGGGGGGCGGGGGGGTCATGAAAATGTTCTAGAACTAGATACTGGTGATGTTTGCAAAACATTATGAATCTATTATTTGCCACTGAATCATATACTTTAAAACTGCTAGATGGAAAAATTTGTTTTACATATATATCTGTACACATAACCATAAAATAAAAATAAATTCAATGAAAGGGATGAAAAGAAGGAAAGATTTCAGACAAACGACTACAGAAAGTCACGGTGAATGTGACAGGGTGACATATTGTGTAGAAATAAGAGAACTAATGGTAATTCATTTGTCACCAGGATGGGATGAACTTGGTACAGCACCTAAGGCAATTCTTTTTTTATCCAACATCAAAAGGAAACCCCAAAGCAACATTCTTAAAGCTCTGCATAGTTTGAACCTACTGGTTAGTCCCTACCCTACTTCCAGATCACTAATAAACATATTAGCAAGTCTTTAGGTCATTGATAAATTGTTATTGATTGGTTATTCATCAAGGTGAATACATAAGGTGTCTTCATCTTTGTCTTCAAAATTTTACATTGCACTTGTTCAAAATTTCTACCTGAGATGTTCTCTGATGAATGCCCATAGGTCCTGCATTCCCAGCATAACCAGTCACCCAGGAGTGGTACCCAAAACCCTAAGTAGATCATGGCAGGGAACTTGAAGCTGTTTACCAGAAACATGAGGGAATGAGATACCAGTGGCCTGCAGATGGTGGGACGGATGCAGCCAGCCAGTCAAGGGTGCTCTGGAACAATCTACCACTTGTGAAGATGGCCTGCTGCTGGCTATGGAGGCGTAAGGAACCTTCTGCAAGCCTGTGCAAGGCCCAGCACAGCACATACACACTGTGGATGATGGACAAGAGAATGGCTGTTTCTCAGCGGAGCCCAGCCTCTGTTACAGAGTGCCGCGGGGCCAACTTGAGCGGGCCTGTTGTCCAGCAACATCTGAGATGAGGTCATGCACATACCATGATGCTGTGTCACCCCCATCCAGTTGCTGAAATAATGGTCAAGCCACTGGGGTAATTTGCGATCACCACCTCAACTCCCAAGCTGGGGGCGGCGAGTCTGGGGTTCCCATGAGTCCAAAGGCAATACTGTTATCTGGGTCACACAATGCCCAGCTGCGTGTCTCAGGGTCACTGCAAGGCCTGGGTCATGAGGCAGCAGAGGACGCTTCCCTGTCCATATCCTCCCACCACGTGGCCCAGTGACACAGCTGAAGATCGACTGGCGACTGCATCCTGGCTAGGCCTGTGCGTGATTGTATCGGCTCTCTGTCCATCCAGAAAAGGATGTGTCCTTTAGAAGCTGAAGGGTGGATAGTGATATGGAACAGAGCAAAGGTAACAAGACAGACATTCTTAAAAATGTAAATGAGGGGACTTCCCTGGTGGTCCAGTGGTTAGTACTACAGATCCCCACTTTGGGGCCACAGGTTCAATCCCTGGTCGGGGAACTAAGATCCCGCACCATGTGGCCAAAAATTTTTTTTTAATTTTTAAAAGATGTAACTGACGTCCCACCAAAGAGTAATCAGAACACGTAAATGTGACAGGGATGCTGAGGCAGAGCACTTCCTTCAGGCTCCTGATAAAGCACAAGTTATAACAACAGACAAGAGTTTGTAAATGTGTCGGGGTGGGGGTTTACTGGTGAAGCTCTGAGCATCCAACAGATTTCTCCTGTGTGGTACTAAGAAAAAGATCACTGTTTCAGAAACTAGATTTCTGGCCATTTGGGTCCTTTGATTCACTTGATTGTAGATAATATTTCAAAAATCATTTCAGCATATTGGTTTTATCTCTTTTTTTTTAAAGAAAAATATAAAAAAATAAAAAGAAGACTATTTAACAATTCAGCTTTAAAGCTGAATAGTTCAGTATGTACATCCCCCCCAAAGCACATTTTCCAACATAACCACAGTAATACTATTATCACCCCTACACAAGTTAACAACAGCTGCTTAATATCATGCAAGACCCGGGCACACTGAAATTTTGCTAACTACCCCCTCCCAAATGTCATTCACATGTTGGTCTGACTGGACCAGGATTTGACAAGGGCCCGGATATGAGACGGAAACAAATCTAGAAAGCAGAGAAAGGGAAAAAAAATAAAAATTATACCTTACTAAAGCTGATTTAAAAAAAAAATCAAATGAAACACACACACTTTTGTGGACTTTTTTCTAGTCAGGGTATAAAGTAGAGGGGAAAACAGGCACAGATTATCTGGGCAAGAAGAGTTGTTCCCTCCCACCTTCCACTTTCAAATACTTTGATTATCTCTCAGTCTCCCTAACAGCAGTGGGGGAGCAGCCTCTTGGGGTGTTGAAGAATTGAGCAGAGGCAAAAACCAGAGCGATGGATTTGGGGAAACTCCAGGAGATAGTGAGGACAGGGAAGCCTGGGGTGCTGCAGTCCATGGGGTCAAAAAGAGTCTGATGCGACTTAGCAACTGAACAACAACAAATGGGTGGACCAGAAAGAAGCATTTAAGTAATTTGTAAAACACCAATGTAGAGATTTGGAGAGGCCAAAAATAAACATGCTGGGAATTTCAGATTCTCACAAAAGGCCACCAGCATTTCCTAGAGCAGCTCTGTGCCAGATATTTTCACATATATCCCATTTAATCTTCAAGGAGATCCATGAGGAATATTTTTTTTACTATCCTCATTATATAGATAAAGAAACTGAGGTTGTAAAGAAGTTCCATGGCCTGCTTTGTAGGAATCATGGTTCTCTACCACCACCACCCAAGATGCCCCCAATCCTAATCCTTTCCAAGGTAAAGCGGGATTAGGGTCACAGAATTAAGGTTGCCAAGAGGCTGACCTGAAAATGGGGAGAGTAGCTTAGATGATCCGGGTGGGATCCATGTAATCACAGGGTCCTTAAATGTGGAAGAGGGCGGCAGGAGAGGTCACTCCCAGATCCCAGTAAAGCCACTGCTGGCTTTGAAAATGGAAGATGGTCACAAGACAAGGAATGGGCCGGGGGAGGGGGGACTTCTAGCAAATGGAAAGGGCAAAGAAATGGGTTCCCACCCCCGCTACTCCTGCCCCGAGAGCGTCTATAAAGGAATACGGCCCTGCATAGCTACTGGGAAAAACAATAGCTTTGACGTTTGTAGGCAAAGTAATGTCTCTGGTTTTTAATACACTGTCTAGGTTTGTCATAGCTTTTCTTCCAAGGAGCAAGCATCTCTCAATTTCATGGATGCAGTCACCGTCCACAGTGATTTTGGAGCCCAAGAAAACAAAGCCTGTCACTGTTTCCATTGTTTCCCCATCTATTTGCCATGAGGTGATGGGACCGGATGCCATGATCTTCGTTTTTTGAATGTGAATGAGATTAGTGCCCTCACAAAAGAGGCTCCAGAGAGGTCCCTTCCCCTTCCACCATGCAAGGACACAGCAAGAAGACAGCCCTGTACAAACCAAACCTTGATCTTGGACTTTCCAGAACTGTGAGAAATAAATTTCTGTCATTTGTAAGCTACCCAGTCTATGGTATTCTGTAACAGATGCCCAAATGGACCGAGACAAGCAGATCATTTGTAACCAAGTAGAGGATTCATGTACAAACAAGTTGGCTGGTGGCATGAGCCAGCCAAGCATTAAAAACTCAAGGGGCGGGGGGAGCTGCAGTGTAGACCGCCCACCTGCAGGCAATTGAGAATCTGGTTTTTAAATTCAAATACAATGCTGCTAGTTGTTCCCAATAGGAACTTTTTATCAGGACCGCCAGAGGCTTCTACCAATTTACACTGTTCAATTCAGCTCACAGAGGACGTAATTACATCAGTTCTACAACTCTGAAAATTCTGATAAGCAGCCAACCCAGAAACCTTGTAAATATTACCCCATACAGTAGCATCCGATAGGAAGAACCTGAATAAAACATGAATAGCCTCAAACACAAAGAGCTGGATTCAAACCCTTGGTTCGAAAAGCTCCCCGATGCTCCAGATGGACTTTAAAAGATTACCCTGAAAGGAGTGGAGCCCTCTCCTCAGTCGCTTGGTGCTATTCACTCCAGGCAACCATTTCTATCAGCAAAAACCAGTGGTTCCCTCGATTGTGATGAGTGAGTCACCTAGTGCGTTATTCTTTAGTCGCTCAGTCATCTCTGACTCTCTTGTGACCCCATGGACTGTAGCCCGCCAGGCTCCTCTGTCCATAGGATTTCCCGGGCAAGAATACAGAAGTGGGTTGCCATTTCCTTCTCCAGGGGTCTTCCCAACCCAAGGATCGAACCTGGGTCTCCTGTACTGGCAGGCGGATTCCTTACCACTGTGCCACCTGGAGGGCTTGTTAAAACATTGCAGGGCCCTTCCAGAGTGTCTGACACACAGATCTGCTAGGAAGGGGGCCTGCCTTTTTGTTTCCACCAAGTTTCCCGGTGATGATGAGGCTGTTGCTCCAGGCACCACACTTTGAAAACCACTAGTATAAATCCATCATCCGACTTTGGGGTAACTCAGAGCCAGCCTTCTGTTGACCAAGAACAGACTTCAGCTGTTTCAGTGGCTAGTGGCAATTTGCAGCTTCTGTGAGGGTTTCTTTTCCCTCCTTTGCAGAGCACACGAAAGACCTCTGCTGACACACCCACTGATCCTCCTAGAGACATCTGCCAGTGCACACCTAGTCACGTCTAAGTCTGAAGGGCAGACCACGTTAGGGTAAAGGCCACACCACCCAGCTTTACAGACAGAAAATGACACTTTTCAAAACCCAGGACTGGCAGAGAAGATGGCGGCAGGGGAGCGGGCTATGCTTGAGCATAGTCGGAGATGGAAGCTGGGCCCGACATCCAAGGTGCTCCTGTTCATTTCCTGTTGGCTTCCTTACCTCTCGTGTTCCTTCACGGAACTGCCCACGCGAGAGCAGGCTTCGCCTTTGCCTTCGCCTCATTCACCACTATGCTCCTAGCAACACAACCTCTAACTGGAATGCAGAGAACACTCAGTCAAAAGTTAATGAATGAACAGGTAAGCCAGTCCAAAGTGAGATATGGGGCAACAGAACAACTTTTCAATGAGAAGGACGATCATTTAAGAGCTAATGCACACAATAACTAATAAGACGTGGAACCAACCTAAATGTCCATTGCCAGACGAACGGATAAAGACGATGTGGTACATACACACAATGGAACACCGCATTCATGCGTGCTAAGTCACTTCAATCACGTCTGACTCTTTGTGAGCCCACCAGGCTCTTCCGTCCACGGGATTCTCCAGGCAAGAATGCTGCAGTGGGTTGCCATGCCCTTCTCCAAATGGAATACTACTCGGCCATAAAAAAGAATGAAAGAATGCCATTTGCAGCAACATAGATAAGGGAAGTAAATCACAAAGAGAAAGATAAATACCATATGATATTGCTTATATGTGGAATCTAAAATATGACAGAAATGAACCTATCTATGAAACAGAAACAGATTCACAGGTATGGAAAACAGACTTATGGTTACCAAGGGGGAGTGGATGGGGGAGAGATCAATTGGGAGTTTGGGATCAGCAGATGCAAACTATTTATAGAGAGTGGATAAATTCTCTATGCTCTACAGGTCCTACTGTACAGCACAGAAAACAATTTCCCACATTCTGTGATAAACCATAATGGAAAAGAATATGAAAAAGAGTACATATATGTATAGCTGAATCACTTGGCTATATAGGAGAAATCAACACAACACTGTAAATCAACTACACATCAATAAAAAAATTTTTGAAGATGAGCTAATGCTATGATACAATAGCTCACTGCTTAGTTATAGTAAGTCCTTTGAGTCTGTTAGCTTATTTAATTCACAAAAACCTAGAAGCTGGGGTTACTTTTTACTAGCCTGAGCCTTCAGGTAAAGAAACCTAGGCCTGGAGAGGAATTTGCCCAAGATCACAAGACCAGCAAGTGGGATGCAAACTCAGGCACTGCAGCTATAGTGATCATGCTCTAAACCCTGAAGTACAATCCATCTGCCTTCCAGGTCCCCGGGATCTTGTTTTTTTCACAAGTGCAAACTGAAAGGAGATGTCCTTCTAATTCACACAGAAACATTTTAAGAGATTGGTCGTCTCCCACCATGGTCTTCAGATGGAAACCAAGATTGTTTGGTTCTTGCAAAGTGGTTTACTTCCTAAGGTCAACTGTTTCAGTTTTCTATCACATTTTTTTTTCTCCAAGAGCTCCTTTTCTCAGTGTTCAAGTCATCCTTCTAAATCAGGGCCAGAATCCTGGTTAGTTCTCAACCTCTCACTGTTTGGATTTAGGAATGCAGATGGATAACTGTGTTGTCCAATATAGTTGCCTCTGGCCGCATATCACCATTGAGAAGGGTTGAAAATTTAGACTGGACTTCAAAAAGACCTACTCTGAAAAATAATGCAAAATATCTCAACTTTTTATATTGGTTACACCCTGAAATGATATTTTGGATATATCAGATTAAATAAAATTGCTATTAATTACACCTGATTATCCTTTCAAATAATTTATAGCCTGTGAAAAATAACATGTGGTTCATATTATAATTCTCTTGGACAGTGCTGGTCTAGAATATTCTACAATAGTTCCTACTGGACAAAATATCTAGAATAGTTTTCCATGTTGGAAATACACATTTTATTTATTTTATATATAAACAGATGATTTTATATTACTGTGTTTTACTGACTCATGGGTAAAATTTTGGAGCAAAAGATACTATATCTATTTGCATTTGTCTGTATGATTATATATGTCTTTTCTTAGAATAGTTTTCCATGTTGGAAATGCATATTTTCTTAATCAGGCTTTTTCTAGAAACAAGTATCAGATTCCTCTAGATTCTAAATGTCACATAGATTCAACAGGGCTCCTACAATTCAGCTGAATGCAGAAAACTACTAATCTGACATTCTTCACTTTATTCTCCTATTTCAAAAGTAGTGAATTTAATGGCCATAAAACAATTCTGCCTCGTTTTGAAATAGAAGGAAATGTTTTTAAGGACCTACCAAGCAGCAATGCAAAATTCCCTAAGGATTCTGCAGATCTCATCCTGTCTCTATCTACTCGTATTAGAAGATTCTGGAAACATGGTGCAAGAAGAAATAACAAGCATTCTCCATTTTCTTGCCACAATTTTCCCTCGAGAGCTACAAAATTATGCAGCATGTCATTAAGTGGGCTGAGTTTTCCCAGAGACATTAGCTAACTGAACCTGGGTTCTTTATCAAGGATCCAAATCAAAGAGACAAAGGCAGGCAAAGAAATGTGACAGAAGGAAATACACAACCTCTGGCCTGCACAAAGATTTAAAACAGCAGAGGAGGATCCATGTAGTGGATGGGCCCAGCAGAGGCCTCACCAGGGGATTTGTCCTGTCCCCAAATTTATATGCGGGGGAACAGGAACCCAAGGGAAGGGAAGGGCAGAGCTAGAAAAACATTTGTTGTGTATCTACATGTATTTTGCTTCAGGAGAAATCCAGTCACCTGTTAATACAGAAGTCTTGTTCCTAGACTCTGCATTCCCAGGCCAAGACATTTTTGTTTTTAGTATTTTAAATAAAAAACCCATTTCAATCCATGTGAATCCATGAAACAAATCTTGTACACTCTAAGGAAAATAATGAACTGGATACATAAATAAACATACACACCAGAAGAATGGACGTCCACTGAATTCTGTCCTTAAGGTCAATGAGAGAAGTTAGTCCTGTCCTCTCATCAGACTCTTACAAATATCAAATTCTATCACAAAAGCAATCATTTAAGAACGTGATGGGAATATCTGCTCCTTCACTGATTGCTGCTCCTTGGCCAGTTTTGCTGCCATCTTTAATGTTTGGATAGGTGAGCGGTAGCTGCCTTAAGGTATTTTTTCAAACCCAATTTTCAACAATGAACAGTACAGTGGGAATGTTCCCTGTGGTTCTTTCTCACTAGTGAACAGACTGGGTCAGCTTATTTGAATACACACCTGAGGAAACTAGAGGCCAGGGCTTTATTTTTTTTCCTTAAAATTTTTTTTGGAAGTCTTATTGAATTAATTACAAAATTGCTTCTGTTTTAAGTGCTGATTTGTTGGCCGTGAGGCATGTGGGATTTTACCTCCCTGACCAGGGACTGAACATGTACCCCCTACATTGGAAAGAAAAGTCTTAACCACTGGGCCACCAGGGAAGTCCCAAAGGCATTTTTTAAAAAACCATTCTGCACCCCTTTTCTGGTAAATTCTATAAAATGTGCATAAGTAAACTGTAAGTACAGATACATAGAGGACAGGTTTATTATAAAGTATATAGACATCATATGGAAAACTAAATGTCTCTGTGCCTTTATTTCATCCAGAACTAACATATTAACTAACACAAGCACTAAAGTGCCATCTTGCTTGCCCCCTAAGAGGAATTCTTAGCTGTTCAAGTGGATGTCCACTCAGGGGCAGCGAAGTACCCCCAAGTTTATTTGGGACTTATGTGTCCCAAATAAGTATCACCCCAGCAAATAGAGGTCACCTCCAAAAATATCCCCTACAGTATTGCCAATAGTGGGGGCACCATTGCTTTGATTGGGAAGTTCTCAGGCAAGGACTCTAGCAGCAGACACCCTCACCTGAAGATCTTGTCCTTTGCTACTTTTGACCCCTCCTCAGCAGGATTTCAGAGGCAGATCCAGGGATGCATGAATGAGGGCATCGTCAGCTCCCCGCCCCATGAGGTGCTTAGAACGCTACATCTGTGTCAACAAACCCCAGTGCCAGGGTCAGTCACTGGAGCAGACCAGCACGATGGATGGAGCGGTCCAAGTGTAGGGCGGGAATCATCTAATAGCAGTGAGTGAGCAGAGGAGGACCGGGTTTGCCTTCTACGGGGACGCCATGGCATATTTTATGTCTGAATTTTGAGAAGGTTTTGTTGTGCACCCCCATGGCTTCCACCTGTCATCATCAGGGCCCCAAGTGAAAAGCTGGCATCTCTTGGTGGTGCATATTTTCACTTTTTAAAAAAGAACAAATATCCGAAGAGCACAAAAACTTAGGCTCTATGCTTTGGCAATACACTGTTCATTTGTTCGATCAGCAACAGAAATGCAACTTTGACCCTGCTATCAACCCCCTTTCTGCTGAGTCTACAACTCATAAGCATAAAACCCACTGCTATTCTGGTTATGTGTTGCAAAGGATTTCACCAAATTAGTATTCTACTTGTGCACTGATGCAAATTTATTCAGATTTTAAGCTAATGAACTAGGAAGCAAAATCTCATCCTGAAGTTTCATGTTTAATCAATGATTAATTTAACCCAATGCCTTTAGGAACTCAAGAGCTATCTTTGTAGGTGCCAGCACATTTTCCTCCAGTGAAGTCTTCAAACATTCCCCTCTACATACAGCATTCCTTCATCTTCACATTTATAGTTCTTTCTGTATGGATCAGAACACTGCTTCACTTGAGCACGTGAAAAGTGCCTCTGCACATAGAGTATTTATAAGTTCCCAGCACTGCTGACATTACAGAGCCTGGTATATAATCCAGGGCTCTGGACTCAGATCTTAGCCCACATGGAGGGAGGCCACTGCACCCTGAACAGCCACCCTTCTGCTGATGTCACATTTTCAGCTCTCAAACATGATGGAACAGAACACCCGACAAGACAGAATGCTGCTGTTGGGGTCCCACGGCTCTCTATCTCAAGCCACAGTTGAATCAGTAAAAAGTGTTAGTCACTCAGCTATGTCTGATTCTGAGACGCCACAGACTGTAGCCTGCCAAGCTCCTCTGTCCATGGGATTCTCCAGGCAAGAATACCAGAGTGGAAGCCATTCCCTTCTCCAGGGCATCTTCCCGAACCAGGGATCGAACCCGGGTCTCTCGCATTGCAGGAAGATTCCTTACCATCTGAGCCACCAGGGAAGCCCAATCAGAGGTGATACCAAAACAGACCTTATCCTCCATGGCAGATGCATAAACTCAGGTACTGAGCCACACATACCCCCTCTAA